TGGTGCCAGTCTGTGGTTGGTTTTACGCGGGGCGAGGCGAGGGGAGGAAACAGAAGGATGAAAAGGCTGAAGATGAGCCTGATGCTGGGGTTGGTTGGTAGAGAATCAATGCAATCCACCGATCGGAACCGTCTGAAAATATTCAGGACCACGTTCATTTCTCCGAGGGTGGCACATGTAGGGACCTACAGCGCACTTCGCGCCGTGTCAGGCTGCCCTTTCCGAGCCGCGAGTTGCCCTGAGGAAATTGTCCATCAGCTCCACGTCAGCCAATGCAAGTTCGGTTACGAATGACAGCTCATCAGTTTCACGGGCCGCACGGCCCCCGCGTCAGGGACAAATATTCTAATGTTCGTTACAACTTACAAGCGTGACCATCAACACCACATTTTCTTCATCTCTTCTGGGCATGTGAACACAGATAATACACGAATATATATCTTAAAGCCCAAGTTTTACATGGCATTTTTCAAATTCAAGATTCTTGAATATGAACTCGCCAAAAACCAGGTTACCACCCAAAGTGCAGCTTTCCTTCACAACTCTGATGCATGATTGGCCAGCGACACAAAAAAAACCATCCGTGTGAAGTGTCAACGGGAGTTGGTCCACTGTTCACCCTAAGTAAGGGCGTGGGCAGCGCGTTCATTTTCTCCACTTTTCCAAAATTTTGACGCCCGTCGAATCAGGAAAATACTGTAGCATTTTTGCACCGCGCTTAGTTTGTGTCCCAGGTGGGACACGCGCGTCCAGAATTAGGCACAGGTCCCGCCACACTTTTGCCCAACAACCCACCCAATGAGGTAACCCTGTGCTAGTGGATCTGGTGACGGGGCGCAGTACGAAGCTGTATTTGTGAACCCATGAATTTGCGAGGGTCGTACGCGCTTGACGAACTCGTGGTGCGGTTTCGCTGACCTGCACACAGGCATTCTCGAATGATGCGCGTGTTGTTCGCGGCCGTCGTGGGAACGTGTTCTGTTCGGTTGACGGCACGGAAAACAGCCACCGTTCATCCACTGTATACTCCATCGTGTCCACTCGTTACTCTAAATCAGGGTTACAAACCGCTGAATCTGGTAACTGTTTCGGGCTAAGCCAAGAAAATGAACGCGCTGCCCCCGCCCTAAACTTGAAAACCAAGTTGTACTTACGTGTAGCCATATTGAGTCTAGGACACTTAGTGCGCTCCGCGAGAGCGCGTAATATCGCTTTTAGACAATGGGCATGTGATGTCTAGAACCTTGCAGCAGTCTGACGGTTCTCCCCACTTACGAAACAAATATTAGCCAGCAACAAGAAAAACGTCACCCGTCAAGCCCAAATCTACAGGGTCGATGGAGCTCGCATGTTACGTTCGAAGCGCACGGATCAAGCGCACAAAACGGGACCTAGCCTCACATGTACGTTCGACGCACCCGTCCCACTCTCACACGCCCATCAAACTCCCTCCCGCCGTCGCCCTACTGTCCGTCACTCTCCCTAGCGCTCGTCGCACTCACTTCCGCCATCACCTTCCCTTCCGCCCGTCGCACTCAATTCCGCCGTCACCTTCCCTTCCGCCCGTCGCACTCACTTCCGCCGTCACCAGAGCCAATCCGCCCGTCGCACTCACTTCCGCCGCCACCTTCCCTTCCGCCCGTCGCACTCACTTCTGCCGTCGCCATGCTTTCCGCCCGTCACCCTCCCTTCCGCCGTCGCCATCCCTTCCGCCCGTCACCTTCCCTTCCGCCCGTCGCACTCACTTCCGCCGTCGCCCTCCCTTCCGCTGTCACCTTCCCTTCCGCCCGTCGCACTCACTTCCGCCGTCGCCGTCCCTTACGCCCGTCACCCTCCCTTCCGCCGTCGCCATCCCTTCCGCCCGTCACCTTCCCTTCCGCCCGTCGCACTCACTTCCGCCGTCGCCCTCCCTTCCGCCGTCACCTTCCCTTCCGCCCGTCGCACTCACTTCCGCCGTCGCCGTCCCTTACGCCCGTCACCCTCCCTTCCGCCGTCGCCATCCCTTCCGCCCGTCACCTTCCCTTCCGCCCGTCGCTCTCAATTCCGCCGTCGCCGTCCCTTCCGCCGTCACCTTCCCTTCCGCCCGTCGCCATCCCTTCCGCCGTCGCCATCCCTTCCGCCCGTCACCCTCCCTTCCGCCGTCGCCATCCCTTCCGCCCGTCGCCCCCCTTTGTCTCGTCGCGCTCCCTGTTGCTCATCGCCCTCCCTCCGGCTCGTCCCCTCGCAATCCCCGTATCTCTCTCCCCTCGTCGCCCTGGCATTCCCGTCACTGCTTCCCCCGTGTCCCTTCTCTGCTTCCCCCCATGTCCCCGTCCCTGCTTCCCCCCACGTCCCTTTCCCTGCTTCCCCCCATCCCCTTCCCTGCTTCCCCGTGTCCCCTTCCCTGCTTCCCCCCATGTCCCCTTCCCTGCTTCCCCATGTCCCCTTCCCTGCTTCCCCCCATCCCCTTCCCTGCTTCCCCCATCCCCTTCCCTCATATTCCCCCATCCCCTTCCCTGCTTCCCCTTGTCCCCTTCCCTGCTTCCCCATGTCCCCTTCCCTGCTTCCCCATGTCCCTAGAGCTGATTCCTTCATCTCCTTCCCTTATATCCCCCATGTCCCCTTCCCTGCTTCCCCATGTCCCCTTCCCTGCTTCCCCATGTCCCTCGCTAATTCCCCCATCCCTTCCCTTCTTCCCCCCATCCCCTTCCCTGCATATTCCCCATGTCCCCTTCCCTGCTTCCCCATGTCCCCTTCCCTGCTTCCCCATGTCCCCTTCCCTTCTTCCCCCCATCTCCTTCCCTCATATTCCCCCATCCCCTTCCCTTGCTTCCCCATGTCCCCTTCCCTGCTTCCCCATGTCCCCTCCCTGCTTCCCCATGTCCCCTCCCTGCTTCCCCATCCCCTTCCCTTTCCCCCCATCCCCTTCCCTTCTTCCCCCCATCCCCTTCCCTCATATTCCCCCTGTCCCCTTCCCTGGTTCCCCCTTTCCTTTCCCTGATTCCCCCCATCCCCTTCCCTCATATTCCCCCATCCCCTTCCCTCATATTCCCCCTGTCCCCTTCCCTGCTTCCCCCTTCCCTTTCCCTGATTCCCCCCATCCCCTTCCCCTCTTCCCCCCATCCCCTTCCCCCATCCCCTTACCTGCTTCCCCATGTCCCCTTCCCTGCTTCCCCATGTCCCCTTCCCTGCTTCCCCATGTCCCCTTCCCTGCTTCCCCATGTCCCCTTCCCTGCTTCCCCATGTCCCCTTCCTGCTTCCCCATGTCCCTTTCCCTGATTCCCCCATCCCCTTCCCTTCTTCCCCCCATCCCCTTCCCTCATATTCCCCCATCCCCTTCCCTGCTTCCCCATGTCCCCTTCTCTGCTTCCCCATGTCCCTTTCGCTAATTCCCCCCATCCCCTTCCCTTCTTCCCCCCATTCCCTTCCCTTATATTCCCCCATCCCCTTCCCTGCTTCCCCATGTCCCCTTCCCTGCTTCCCCATGTCCCTTTCCCCCATCCCCTTCCCTTCTTCCCCCCATCCCCTTCCCTTATATTCCCCCATCCCCTTCCCTGCTTCCCCATGTCCCCTTCCCTGCTTCCCCATGTCCCTTTCCCTGATTAACATAGCAGTGCATATGACACCCAGATTTAGGTTATGTTTGTTCAATGTTCAAATTGCATCTCTTATATCATCACATTCCCTTCATGATGGATGCTGTAATGTGCGTGCGCTCTATACAATGCCCTGGGTCTTAGCAGACAAGGTTCAACAAGGTACAAATACAGTGAGCACAAGAATGCACTGCTCCCTACATGTACAAAATTCCTTGCATGTCAGCTGCCTCTAAGGGTACATTCCGCTGTAGAATATGTCCCAATCGATGTGTCTCAATCGATTGGGAGGCGTACGGCCAGCATATGCTGCCAGGTGTCGGAATGCCGTGGCGCCCGTCTCTGTCGCCGACTGTATTTATCATAGGTTGGCGTGATTCACGGAACAGTCGCCAGCTAATTGCAACACGCCCCATCAATCGCACGCGGCACCAAATGTCATCCCATGCATAATGTATCTGGACATTTTGCGAAACCCAGTTTCCCCCCAAACGCGTTCAGAGCGTTCTCATTGGAGGAAACGAACCACGTAGAATTATTGACAGGGACGCGCACATCCCCGCCAGTGCGCCTTCCCCCCGTTCTCGTGCACCTCCATCACAACTCCTCCGCCTCCCAAACCCTTACAAGGTCAACGTTGTGCTCTCTCTTCTTCTCCCGCCACAATTCCCTCTAGATCTAGATCTAGAAGCTATCCCACCGCAAGCATGGCTCGTAAGCGTAAGGGGCAGGCTCTTAACGACTGCCCCAAGGACTTAAACGAAATCCCGTACATCCGCTGGATGAACCAGCAAATCGCCAACGGTCGTCACCCCAGGGGCTTGTCCGCGCCACCCGTTCTTGACGGCCAGGGGTCTACTGCACCGTCGCCCACGGCTGCACCGTCCCGTGTGCGCCGTCAGCCTACCAGGACGGCGGCAACACACCGGCCCGCCGTGGAGGAAGACGTCGCAGATGATGACGACGACGAAGGCGACGACGACGTCGCCTCCGATGACGAGGACGATGAACCTGAGGACCTTGGAATGTCGCCCAGCGACGACGACGATGACGACGACGAGGATGCCCTGGACGACGCCACCGAGGAAGCACAGCCAGTCGCACCGCCGCCGAAACGGAAGACCGCACGCAAGGCTGTGTCCGATAAGGGCAAAGGCAGGGCAAAGGCAAGGCGGCGCAACCTGCAGCACGCCCAGAGCCGCGTAAGAAATGGGCTGCCGCACCAGTCGAGCGCGGCTTATGGTCTGACAAGGAGAGCACCATCTTCGCAGCGGCGAAGTGGTTTCTCAAGGAGGAGCTCGAGCCTCTCAAGGGGAAGCAGGGTACCCAATACTGGGCCCGGCTGCTCGCACACATCAAGGAGTCGAACCCCGGATGGATCCGGGGTGTCAACGCGCTCCAGAAACAGTGGCGTAACCTCATGATGCTATGGCAGGAGTACAAGCGTGCCGACGAGGGGTCGGGCAACGGCTCCGTGGAGAAACCACCTTGGTTTCCGTACCTGGAGCTGCACAACCAGGACACCGCCGCAGCCGCACCGCATGCCGTGGACGGAGGTGGCGCGAATAACGTCAACGTCCCGGCGGGCATGGAGGTTCCGCAATCGTCCCAGCCAGGCACGTCAACTCCTTGCTTCACAGGTGAGTCTGGGGTATTATGTTCGGCGTTGTGGTTCTTGTTTTCTCGTACGCGTTGTTTGTAAAGGCTTTTTTAAAATACCACCATGTATGCCACGAACATCGACATCGTGTTTACCACACAAACAAACCTACTACAATCGTCCATGCTATGTCGCAGCTCCTCCGCCAACGACTCCTGCCACACCCAGGCGTGCCCGGGTGCATGAGACGGCCACCATGCAAGCGGCGATGCTCGTCTCCGCCACCATCAAGGACTGCCATGGCGACGCGATGACTCGCATCGAAGGCCTCGTCCGTGAATGGATGGCGCAAGATCTCCGACTTGCCCGTGAGCGTATGACAGAGTCGGCACCCCCGGATGTGCACCGCGCGCCCCAGGATTTCTCTCCACCGCCGCCACGCGGGGAGTCCGCGCCTGCTCCCGAAACCGCACGGACGCGTGAGGACGTGGGCGACGGCAACACCGTCACTCCGGCGGCTGAGGATGTGGAAATATGGGTTCGCGGCGCCGACGATTAGCGTAAGATGACTGAAGCGCTTCCCCAAGTCGTTTCCGCCTTTCCCTAAGTGCTTGTTGTGTTGGGGGAACACACAGTTCCCATTTGTGTGTCGCAATAGCACCCCGCGTCCACCATGGATCGCGGTTGCGGGGTAGGTTCTCCCATGCCATGTTTCGCCGCCTGACATCCTGCATGTCTTCACACATGTTGTGCAGGATGACACAACACGCAGCACCGGCGAGTATGCGCCACAACCTGCAGTCGTTGCGCTGGCCGAAGATGCGCCATCTCCCTTTGAACGCGCCGATGCATCTCTCCACGGCCATGCGTGTGGCGCTTTGACAGTAGTTGAAAGTTTGAGCCCAGTCGTCCATGAGGTCCTCTCCTCGTGGGGCATGCAGGGGTGTTAGGCAGTACTCCCGTAGTGGGTAGGCCGCGTCACCAACGATCTGGTATGGGGCTATGTCCCCGTTGTATAACCTCTCAAGTAGTGCAGACTCTTTGAAAACCCGCATGTCGTGCGCGCTACTGGGATACCCGATAAGGTAGTCCCATATTCTCCCTCGTGCGTCACATGTGAGCTGGAGTTGTACGGCATATGCGGATTTCCTTGTCCAGTACTCAGTTCTATGCCCCTCCATCCCCTTCATGTGTATATGAGTGCCGTCCACAGCACCCACCACAGCAGGTATACCCTTGACGGCCGCAAACTCCCGCGCCATCTCTGGAAGCTCTTCACGGGTGGGGAATCGCACCCAGGCGGCCTTGAAGACGGAGGGGAACTGCGTGAGAAATACGTCGACCAGCTCGTGGCAGAGAGTTTTGGAGATGCCGAACAGGTACAATATGTCGACGTACGAGATTCCAGAGGCCAGGTACTTGATTGGGATTAGCACTGCAGTGTCCAAGGTGAGAATGGATCGGTGAACTATTGGCTCTAGGTAGTGTTGCAGCCCTGCCTTGATATGCTCCAGTATTGAACGGTTGATCCTGAAGAGATCCTGAAAGTCGTTCTCCCGCATGTGTTGCAGGTCTTCAACCCACAGAGCGTGTCTCCGCTTTCGTATCCTCGCTCTGTGACGGCGGTTCTCGCCGTAATCGTCCCCGCAGGATGAGGACTGCTCTTCCTCGTCCTCGAAGACACCTGACTCTATGAGGCCTACAAAGCTCTTGGACACATTTTCGTGGAAGATGGTGTAGTAGTAGGTTACCCAGGCGACGAGAAGGCGTAGGATGAATGGGATGGTTCGTGGCTCTGCCATGTTGTGTGGATTCGCTGACTGTAGTTTTTTTTATGTGTGTATCTGGATTATACTAGCTCCTTGTGTGTGCTTCATATTGCCGTAGTACCCGCTGTCGCAATTATTGGAAGCGCGGATGTGTTGTGTATCATCCGCGGTCTCCCCGTACGGATTTGTGTTTCCTGCGGTTGACGGGAGGCGTGGGTGTTTGTGCTTTTGGCGGGAAAATGGGCCAGGATGGACGGTGACCAATCAGCAGGGGTCGCAAATAATTGTCGCTTCACACAGCAGAGTCGCAATACATCGATCGATTGGAACATGCAGATTCGGGAAAATTGGGCGCGACTCGACGAAAAGGGGATTGAGACATATCGATTGCGACACAAATCCACAGCGGAATGTACCCTAACCAACCTACCTCTCAAGATGACCCACCAACCAACCTCTCAAGCACAACACCTACACTTCAAATTCATCACTTGAAATTAGGAACAAGGACGTTGTTGACCCCATGCACGATTATATGGCCATCTTGGAAAATTTCCCCCTGCTCTATAAATGTTCCCCGATGTTGCCCCGGCTTGGCGTACTGGGGGTCCTTCGTGGGCAGGCGACGGATGACCTGCTTTCCCATTCCTGTTGGTAACTGCATAACCAGAGCAACATGGGAGGAGGGAATAAAAATTAATAGGTGCAAGCATGATAGAACCATAACGTATCATTCAGAACGGAGAAACATGACTGCATGGGAAAGCTGATTCTGTGGTGAATGGGTGTCGAGTTCATGAATGAGTACTTGGAACGCCTACCGGAGGTGCGTGACATGACAACACAGCCTTCACCAAAATGCTATCTTGTTCTCCCTTAGTATCAAAGTGAAACTCCCGAATCAATGCACCACACATATTAATGCCACTCGGATAACCATGCGAGGTACAGTACTCCAGAAAACATTCATGAAGGCATGAACAAAATACGGACCTCCGTTCCAGGCGGATACCACGCGAGTTGGACTTTGGTGTATCGCTCCTTGATGAAATGATAAGCGAAGATTTGCCACAGCCGCGTGTTGTTGCCTCGGATCTGCCCGCGCGCCCAAGCGCTCATCTTGTTCCACCCGCTGTTGATTGGCACCAGTAACGTATACTTGCCCGTGGGCAGCCTATCCGCAAGAGTGCTGTTGAAACCTGAGGTGTAAAAAAAAAAAACAAACAAAAAACACGGAGGTGTTGAACAAATGTAACAGAAAGTGCAGCAACAAGGAACATAACAGCGAAGCCATGGAGGAGAGAGTTTTTGGGAGCAGACTCTGTGACTACGACACAACGACAAGGTTCTCGGTGGCTGACGAACGGATGAACAGTAGAGCAGCAACGCTGTGAAAAAAAATAATGTCAGCGAAGGACCGTGCGAGGTTACATATTCGCCCTTTCGCAGATGTGACTTCGCACGCGTCCCGTCGTATCGGCACTCGAAGTGCCTGTCAGCCAAATGCTTGCACCGGTAGCCGCCGACAAAACAGCAGCCACTATCGTGAAGACAAGCACGTCGCAAACAACATGAACATCGCGTCAATCCGTCTCGCGTGCCTTTGCCAGTTGCATGTATCGGGCGAGCACGAAGCAAAACGGCGTTTGCACGAAGCGGCTTGTGGGCACACGAGGCGCGCGTGAAGACTCTCTACGGGGTCGTCTGTTGAGGCGCCTGAAAATTTGTCTCTCTACCCGTTGCTTTCATTTTGAGGCACCACAAAAGAGACAACCAAGGACGCACGAGGACCTACTAGGGGTTCGTCTCAGCACGTGGACCATATTTCAAGCCGTCTGAAGAACGGTTTACTCCCTTACCGCTTTTTCTTAAGTACGTGAGGGCCGTCGTCAGCCCCTTCTTCCTCAGCGCGTTCTCTATAGCGCGTACGCCGAACTTCCCCGAATACTGCGCGTACGCGCTAGAGATGGACGCGAGAACGAGCACAGCGACAACGAGAAATGCGAACAGCGGCGAGCGGGACGACGACAACGACGTCGCCATCGCGACGCTGGTAGCAACCCCGAAGCGCGCTCGGCAAGGCAAGGAAAGAAAGGAGAAGCTATCTGATACAAAGAAATCGCTTTCAGGGCACAGATAGACCAGAAAGCGATTCGGAAGTTCGCTTGAATTCAAAGACTGCGGTCTAGCTAGGAGATGCGGTGCGTTGACCAAATAGCAGGGTCTACTTTGTTACTGGCGCAAATGGTCAGGTTTTTCGATAGGTACAAGCAGGGCGCAGGTGGACGGATTGCAGCGGACACTTCCCTTGTCATTCGATGGTGTCTCTTGCTTGAATGTGGGGGAGCACGTTGCACCAGACCAGACATGCGACGAGGGCGACAGCTTGGTTGGGGGAAGGGGGGCAGATGCGAAGGGGTGGGGATTTCAGGGCGACATCGGGGTATGCGAGAGGATTTCGGTGGAGCTCTGTGCGGTGCTGGCGCGAATGGAAAGGTCGAATGGATTCGACGGCTTCGGGTCGGGCTCGTTCAGGGGCCTTCTGTCGCTGGCACCGACTTCCTTGCGCAAACCTGCCCCGTGCGACCAGTGTCATTGGTGGAAACCCACGATGCACGACTCGTGAACGACAGCGAAGAGCGAATAGAAATGACGAGGATGTGCTGCTAGTGGTTGGTTGCAGTTGCGCTGTCCCGTGGGCCGATACTTGCGGAGGCAGGTGTTTCAGGGGTTTCCGGTTTCGTTACTTTCGACTTTGCGACAAAACGCCTCGTTCGCTTTTCTTCGTCTGCCTGTATACGAGAGACACACGAGCGAGCATAGACAATCAGGTAATCGCCCAGGTGATGGTCCCAGGAGAGCTTAGTCGGTGTTCTGGAGGCGCAGGGGTTGACCGAGTCAAGAACCACCTTCCGCATCACATGATTCGTGGGGGTGTCCTCGTCAAAGGAATCGAGAGAAATTTCAGAACACCACAAAACGTCATGCAGCACAAGTACAATACAAATGGTTCCCGTATATAAACTTGTACCTGAGACTTGTGTTGTTCTCCTATGATGCAATCATCGCTCGAATCCTCCAAAAATATGTCCTTTTTAAGGTGATACGGTTAGTAGTCATATTGATACTTATTAAATAATATGCATATAGTCTAACGCCTCCAACTACCCCCTAGTACTACCCCAGCAGCCCTACCATCCCCCTTCTTTGAAAACGATGTCACGGTTTCTAGCCTCTCAGGTGCCCTTGCGTTCAAGATCGCACTCGCACCCTCCTCGTCAGGGCTCATGCCTTCATCCCCGCTTGAAAACGGATTCCTGCCCCTGTGCCCCTTCTCCTGATAGACATCCTGTTCCACCAACCCTCGCCCTCCAACCACCCCACACGCGTCTTCCCGTCGATCTGTACCCTGCACCACTCCTGTTGTCCTCCTCTTCGCAAAGGGACTCCCCTTCCTCCATGCCCTCTCCTTCTTTCCCCCACCCTCCACCTCTCCCCCACCCCCCTCCCTCCTACCCAGCCCCCAACCTTCTCCTCTATCCTCACCGCATTATCTTTCCCTGCCTTCTCCCTAACAGCACCGCCCGTGCCTTCTCTAGCTGCATCGTGCACAAGCTCACCCGCAGCCTCTGCACCACCACTACCACCATAACCACCACCAGTGACCTGCGGCGTCTCAGAAGCTTCCCTAGGAGACTTGCTCTTGCAGAGAATCGACTGAACCCTAACCCCTTCCGTTTCCCCACTCCCGGCCCCGCCGTACACATCTCTCTCTCCCACCCTCCCTGCTGCGTCCGCCTCAGCCCCCCCTGCTCGCCTCCCGCCCCTCTTCTCCTTCTTCAGGCTCGGCGATCTCCGGGGCAGGCTCGGGCTCCTGGCCTCCAGGCTCGGGGTCCGAGCCTCAAGCCCCAGCAAGTCTCCTTCAGCCACGTCACCACCTGGAGAGAGGGACCCAAAGTCAGGCTGCCGCATCATCTGCTTGACCACCTCCGTTGACTGCATTGACTGGTTTGACCGGTTTGACCGGGTTGACCTGGGGGAAATCTCATCCTCCACAGGCGAGCCTCGAGCCTTCCTGCATTTCCTTCTCTCGCCTTGCTGCGTGCTACCAGGGCTGCACCCGCCCTCCTTGCCCTCGCCCCTCCTCACCCTCCCACTTCCGCCCACTCCCTTTGCTCGCTGACTGGCAACACCAGGCGATTGCTCCTCCTCCCCCCCTTCCGCCTGCTCCCCTCCCCTGCTGCTGCGCCTGTTGTTGTTATCTCTGCTGCTCCTGCTGTTGTTAAGTCTCCTCCTCGGCCTCAACCCCCACTCGCTTTCCATTGCTACTACCCTGCTCTCTCTCTTCGCCCCTCCTTCCCCCCCTCTCTCCTCTTCCCTCTCAGCCTTCCCAACCTGCTTCTCACTCTTCGCCCCATCATCACCCCTACTCCCCCTCCTGCCCCGGCTGCCACTCCTGCTTCTGTCACTCCCACCCCCCTTGCTTCTGCGCCTGAACCCACTGCCTCTGGACGCTGCTGACGTCACACTGCTCCCAGCTGACGTCATAGACGTGGTTCGTCTAGGTGCAGGTGACCTACCTCGAATCTGCCGTCCCGAATCTCCCTCCTTCCCTCCACCATGCCACCCTCCCTCGTCCTCCTCCTCCTCCTCATCATCCTCATCACTCCCTGGTCCTTGAAACACCTCCCACTCCCCACTCGTCCACGTCCCCTTCCCCCCCCTCTCCCTGCTCTTACCGCTCCTCCTCCCTCCTCCCCCCTTGCTGCTGCTCCGTTTCCCTTTGCTGCTGCTTCTCCTCTCAAGCTTCCCACCCGTATCGCACGCTGACCCCTCCACAGCCTCCCTCCTTTCCTCAACCCGTCCTGCCTCCAACCCTCTCCCCTCCACGACCACCAATTTCTCCTCTGTCTCCCAACTCGTGGCACTCCCCCAGTTGCCATTCCCACCACCATTCCCGTTCCCAGCGTCATTCCCAATCCCACCACCAGTGGTACTCCCTGTGCTGTTACGATTCCCCACACCATTATCCTTCCTCCCATCACCCCGACCATCACAATCCCCCCCCCTCTTCATCCTCCCCACCTCTGCCTGCCCCTGCGGTCGTGCAACAGGAGTGGCCGACCGAGGCACGCGTGAGGGCGAGGGAGAGGGTGAGCGGGCAGACGCGACGGCAGCAGAGAGATGCGCAGCAGCAGAGCGCGGAGCAGCAGGAGAGTGCGGAGAGAAAGGGGAGCGCGGAGCACTAGGGGAGGGAGGAGTGAAAGGGGAGCGTGGAGTGAAAGGAGAGCGCAGAGCAGCAGAAGGAGAGTGAGGGGCAGCAGGAGAAGGTAAGCGGCCAGTGGGGGAGGGGGATCTGCTCCGCTTGCCATCAGGCACAAGGAGCTGCTTCAACGGAGAAGCGAGCATGCTTATAGGGGAGACAGAGCGCCTCAGTGGGCGGTTAAAGGTGCGTACAGGGGAGACGGGAGAGGTGCTTCTAGGAGAGGTGCGTGTGGGGGATGTGCGTGTAGGGGAGGTGCGTGTGGGGGAGGTGCGTGTGGGGGAGGTGCGTGTGGGGGAGGTGCGTGTAGGGGAGGATTTTCCATGGGAGGCACGTGTAAGGGACGTTCGTGCAGGAGAGGTAGACCTGCTCTTTGGCACCGTTGACTTGGTCAATGCAGAGTTGACCAGCGCGGATTTGCCTGCAGGTGAGCGCAGCGCGGACTTGGGCGAGTGGAGCGTGGCTGTGGGTGGGTACAACTGGCTGAAGGGGGAGGTATATCTGGGGGAGGTGGACCTGCGAGGGGTTGTGGGCTCATGAAAAGGGGAGGTGGACCTGCGAGGGGTTGTAGGCTCATGAAGAGGAGAGGTGGGCTCATCGCAAGGGGAGGGGACCTTGAGTGGGGAGGTGGAGCGGCGTCTGCTGCCAGGCAGGGCTTGCTCTATGGCTTTTGCTAGCACGCTGTCCCCCTGCGGCTCCCCCCACCTCTTCCTCTGCCTGCGCCCACTGCTGCGTTCGCCCCCCTCCCGCTCCTCCTCCTTGCCTCTCCGCACCTCTTGCTCCTGCTGCTGCTGCTGCTGTTGCTGCTTCTGTTGCTCTTGCCTTTGCTGCTCCCACTTCTCCTGCTGCTTCTTCTCCCACTGCTGCTTCTGCTGCTCCTCCCTCTGCTTCTCCTGTTGCTGCTGCTGCTGCAGCCTATCCTGCTCCTCCCTCCTCGCCCTCCACGCCTTCTCCCTGCCCTCCGCACCCTCATCTTCCATGACCACCTCCGTCCCCTCCTCCGAGTCCGCACACGAGCTTGACACCACCGATGCAGCATAAACACCCACTCCTGCATTAACACCAACCCCTGCAGAAACACCAACCCCTGCTTCCCCTTCGCTTAACAGCTCCTTCTCTGTATCCACCACCACCTCCCTCTCTCCTCCTCCTCCTCTTCCTCCTCCTCTTCCTCCTCCTCCTCCTCTTGCTCGTTGCTGCTGTTCTCCTCGTCGTCCTCACTCCAATCAGACCCGTGACTGTCGTCCCCATGCCCTTCCAGTGCCTCCGCCCCCTCACAACCACGCGCAGCAGTAACCGCTGTGGCACCAGCACCAGCAACAGCGGCAGCAGCAGCAGGGGCAGTGGCAGCAGTGGAAGCAGCAGCACCAGTAGTGGCTGGGGAGGCAGTGGCAGCGATGTGGGGCACAAGGGCAGGCGAGGAGGGTGCGAGGGACTGGGAGGTGAAGGGAGAGGAGAGGGAGGTGAGAGATCCCAGGGAGATTGAAGTCTTACTGCCGTCTGATGACCCACTCACACCTGCTCCACCTGTAGCGGCGGCTGTAGCGGCTGTAGCAGCTGCACCAGCTGTGGCGGCTGTATTGGCTGTAGCACCAGCTGTGGCGGCTGTAGCGGCTGTACCTGTTGCAGCAGGACTCAACCCGTGGGGCCCTGCCCTGCCTGCAACATTGTGCTCACGCGCCCCCTGCCTGCCTGCTGCTGCGTACTCTTGAAACGTCTCAAACATTGTCTCGCGCGGCCCCTGCCTAGTCACCGTTGCGTCTGCTGCGTACGCGTTGAGTTCACCTGAGAAACCTGATATTTCACCTGAGAGGGCTGACGCCGCAGCAGTGGCCCCACCTGAGGAGAGGAAGCTGGTACAGCTTCTGTCGTCCTCTGTGGCACTCTTCTCTCCCACTTTTCCACCCTCACTCCCCTGCTCCTCTTCCTCTTCCTCTTCTTCCTCCTCATCGCTACCACTACCACTCTCGCTGTAATCGCTCTCACTCTCGTCCTCGCTCTCTTCCTCGCTTTCCTCCTCACTCTCCCCCTCCTCACTCTCTTCCTCGCTCTCTTCCCCCTCACTCTCCTCCTCACTCACCCCTCGCCTTTCATCCCCCACACCTGCTGCGAACCCGGGCGAATCAACAGAGCTTCGGCAGGAAGCCCCTCGAGCCAGAGTGAGCGAGCTATCCGACTCGCCCACTCCCCTCCTCCTCGCCCCCACGCTCTCCCCTTCTGCTCCCGCTCCTGACCCTCCCCTCGCGCCCTGGCTCACACCCAGAGAGAAACTATCCGAGGGCGGGGATGGAGCATACGGGGGGTTGGGGCCACAGGGGGCAGAGTGAGGGGTGGGGGAAGAGGTAGCGGAGGGGTCAGAAGGACCGGAGGGAGGGGTGGAGGAGCCGAAGAGGAGATCCGAGATTCGGGCGGCAGTGGGGGTCATCATGGTCGCCGCTGCCACTGCTGCCGCCCACAGGGCTGGCTTCGCCTCCGGCCCTGCTGGCAGGCCAGCTGGCACTCCAGCTGGCAGTACAGCTGGCAGTCCAGCTGGCGAAGCGGGATTGGCCAGTCCGGGAGTTGGGGTACTGGAGTGAGCTAGGGGAGTGGTGGGGGCAGCAGCGGAAGGCGCAGCGGAGGGGGGTGTGGCAGGGGCGTGGATGCGGGCATGTCAGGGGCCGTGGCAGCGAGAGGCGTGGCAGGGGAGTTTGCGGCTGGGAGTGTGGCGTTAGCAGCAGTGCGAGGAGAAGCGCCCTTCATTGCACTCTTCCTTGCCGGCCTCGCCTCAGCTTTCTCTCCCGGGTGAACCTGCACCCCCGCTGTTACTCGCTGCTGCTGCTGCTTTGGCCGGTTCTCAGCCAAATAGCACTCTGTTTCGGGAGCAGCTGATGCTGCCTCTACGGGGCCCACCTGTAACGCGGATGCTGCAATGGGAGTGGGAGCGCCATGCTCTTCCCAGAGCAAGGCCTCTGTAGCAGGAGGAGGGGAGAGGAAGGGATTTGTGGGATGCAGCTTCAGCTCATTATCACACGTCCCTATACGAGAGTACCCTTGAAGTGCTCCCTGGTCCGCGCTCACTCCTGCCTCCTCCCACACGCCCACTGCCCATGCCGGTTCGTCTATCGAGGGTGATTGTATCAGGTTCCCTGCTGTCCCCTCCAGCCATTCTTCCACTGCCGAGCCATGGTCCACTGCTGCTTCTGCCTTTGCTCCTGATGCTGCTGCTGCTGCTGCTGCTGCTGCTCCCGCTGCTGCTGCTGCTGCTGCTGCACCCTCTGCACCACCAGCAGTAGCAGCAGCGGGAGCTCGAGGAGTGACAGCATCGACAGCATCAGCAGCATAGGCAGCAGCAACAGCAGCATCCACATCGCCAGCAACAGGCACGACTGCACAAGGGGCACTGGCAGGAACAGGAGCAGATTCCAGTTCCTGTGACCCGTCCATCCCAGCCAACGTCCACACACCCTCTCCGTTCACCTCTCGCCACACCAAAGCAGGTCCCGCCCTCCTCTTCACCGCACTGCCTCCCGAACTTGATCTTGCCAGCCCCACACCTCCCGCCACAGTCGTCCCAGCCTCCACACCCCTGCCAACACCCTGGCCATCCTCCTCCCCTTGTACTGCTCCCTTCCCCTGCTCTCCCACCCCTTCTCCTCCTGTATACGCCGTTACCTCCTTCCTGGCAGCAGCAGCAGCAGCAGTAGCAGCTGCCGATACACCACCACCTCTTCCATCAGCCTGTCGGCCAATCCCAGCCTGCAGATTCGCCACGTCATCAACCGACTCCCACGGCAGCGGCATCCCCTTTATAGGCGGGGGCCGCATCTTCTCCAGACTCGCTCGCCCGCTGTACACCGGCGGCCGCGCGACGGCTGCTGCTGGCGTGGCAGGCCGAGCTGGCAGCACAGGGCATGCTGACGTGGCAGCGGGACGAGGAGAGGCAAGAGCTGCTGGCACCACCGCCACATCAGCTTCTCCACGTGCCCCGGCACCCTCCCTGTGACTGTTCTCTTTAGAAGGGGAATCAGACGCCCACAGGGGGGGCAGAACGGACAACCCGTCACCACCACTCGTGTTACCCCTCGCATCCCGCACGCCTGCGCTCCCCCTGTCCTGCACACCTCTCTCCCGCACATCACCCGTTCCATGCGGACTGGCTCGTTCCTGCAAACCGTTCAAACCGCCCAACCCATTCGAACCGTTCTCCCTTCCACTGCCTCCCCTTAACGGCATTGGGAGTGGTGCAGGGGACGGCTGCGGAGCACTCGCGAACCCATTCCCAGGGTGCCTATTCTCCCTGTTCTCCCTATTCTCCTTCTGCCCCTGCGCGTGCTGCTCCCCTCCGCGCTCTGCCTTCCCTGCTTCTGCTCCTGCTGCCACTAGATTGACCGCGGACCCCTCACCGACCACTCCTGCTCCTCCTCCTCCTCCAGCTCCCCTGAGCTCTGCGCTTTCAGCCATCCCCGCTACACGCATCCCCATCATCATCTCTAAGCTCGACATTGCATTCTCGGGATTGCCGAACGTGTTTATGATAGTTCCTGGCACGGCTGCTGGGAGGTTACCCACATCCTGGAACGGTAAGCGCGAGGCGCTGGTCGCTGGTGTGAGAACACGCCCCTGCTGCTGCTGCTGGCTCTTAGCTAAGTGCATCTCGTAGCCGCAAGCGCGAAGAAAGAGCACCTGGAGGCAAAGGAAAAGGAGCAAGGGGTAGAACATGAGGCATAGACGAAAAGGAATGAGTGAATATGGATGGTTGCAACTGGTGGGACGGCGGTAGCGTAGCCAACAAATAAAGGGGGTAGCATAGCTTATTTGAAACCTTGTCATAGTACTCCCGCGAAGTGCATTTCTGGTAACTCCAGTTTACCTCATCTCGCAACTTCTTCGCCTCCTCCTCATGCCTCGCCACTCGCCGCCTCAGCTCCGCAACTTCCAGCCTTAACTCGTCCAGCTCCTCGCTGCTCTCCGCGATTCCCGCGCCAAACCCCATCCCGCCACGTGGCACTCTGACGCACGTGCTCTCGCAGGAGCCTACGGAAGATCCGGCGGCTCTTGCGGACTCGCTACTGCATGACGTGTCCTCATCATCCTCTACCTCCTCCGCAAATCGCGGAACTCTCCCCTTCTCACCGTCCTTCCCGCCAGATCTGCCCGTCCCGCCGTTAGTATGATGACTAAGCGGCTTCACGGGTTTCGCGGGTTTCGCGGAAGCATCCATCCCCTGCTGTACCAGCGGCGCGACAGGTGCAGCAGGCCCAACTATGGCCGCCGCAGCGATGGCGGTCGCGGCGGCCACGTCAGCATCCGTCGTGACGGCTTTCGGGTGGTGAAGATGCGGGGGGTGATTCAGCTGGTGACTATGTCGAAGGTACTTCGCTTCGGTAGCACCGAGAGGAGGGAGAATCCCTTCCGCTGCGGCTTTGGCTGTAGCGGCTGCGGCTGCAACTTCCGTCTTAGGGTTCGGCTGCGACAAAGACTTATCCGGCCACGTGGGTCCGTTGGTAGAGGAAAACTGCTGACGTGGATTCGGGGATTCGTTGGTTGGAAAGACGCGGGTCCCGCCGGTTGAGAGAAGAACATCCTTCTTGTCGCGGGGGAAGGGGAGATGATCCTGCACGGACGAGAGGAGCGAGAGAAGGAAGACAACAAACAGGTGATTTACCAGTCGAAAAAAAAAAAAATCTGAAGTCAATGCGGGGAAAGGGGAAATGAACTTGCGGCATGGACGGGCCGTGTGAGAGAGAAAATATTGAAACAAGGCCGAGACGGATAAATAGGTTTAATCCACTGTAAGAGAACTTTGTAAAAATAATAATTAAAAACTATAGCACCACAATACATTGGATTGACTCGGAAGAAGATTCTTTGTTACAACGACGGCTGTAAGAACTTCGATCTGAGGACCGACTAAGAAAACCAAACGAGAAGCCTCACCCGCTTGTTGGTGGTGAGATGCTCGCCGTCATAGTCGCTGCCTTCCAGTGTCGCAGCGGCCATCCGCAGGCCTTCGTGCGACTTGAGCGATTTCTGGCGACCATCTGCGAAAGAGCTGGACGCCTCTACCGGGATGGTTCCACCGAAGCAAGCGAGCATCTTGCCTCCGTGCTTCCCGCCTTTCGCCTTCTTACTGTGCCACATGGCTCTATAATAAAAAAATAATTAGCTACGTTCGATATAATAGACTATCTACGTTTTCCCGGATCTGATATCTGGCTAGTCTATAGACCTATTTGAGCAAAGGAGTAGCTCGAACGGCTAGCTGTCGTTGTGTCTGACAATAATACAGCCTGCTTCGTCAAGTTCCTACCAGAAATCGACGACCTGTCAAAAGCCGTCTGAGCAAACTAAGGCAGCATAAATCTGTCCTACGAGGTTCTACGCCAAAATTAAGTAGGAGGTCTGAGTGAAGTCTAGGAGATCCCTGTGTACTGAATACGCGAACAGTTCGCTTCGGTGGCTCGGTTTGGCGCATTCTACGGTGACGGAAAGAGAATCTCAAGGCACCACAGGAGATCCCACAGGCGGTGCGGTGCCGTGGGGAACGAAGACAGTCCCAAGAAAAGCAAACATAAGCGGAACTCCCTAGGAACCGAGCCGGAGTTCCGACAGCTTCCGTCGAGCCAACTCGTACGGAACGGAATGGACAGCACGTGGCCAACGGCGTCGGCGCCCCTACAAGGCTGACGTCCACTCCATGGCTTCAGTTTCCAGAAACTGCTTCCGAAACTGACGGACGCGACGACGAGACGGGTGATATGGGTAGGGGCTGGGCTGCCTAGGGATGATACCGTATGGGTTCCGTTCCGTCCAAACCTCGGGCAGCTTAGCTGCAAATGGAGGGAGCCTCAGTCAAGAGATTTTTCGCCTGTGGTTCGGGTGGAGGGAAAATGACCGAGGCGCGGCAACTGAGAGTTTCAGGGGCGCGCGACGGAGTCGGTTCAAAAGTTCGCGCCTTTCAAGACACACTCTTCGGAGTTGCCACCCAAAATCAGAACACCGAGATTGTCAGAGCACTGTAAATTTAAATTGGAACAGTTCAAAAAACACACACAAGCTTGACTTGACTGATAAGGTATCTGCAGTAGACCTATTTATGTTGTCCGCTCACAACATAATTTTTAACCAGAATAGCACATAAGTGCTAATCACAATAGGACGTCAAACTATAAAGGATTTCAATTCCTCCATCCGTGAACATGGGGGTGTTCACTTCATTCTCGGAAGAACTGCTCGGGTGGGATGGGATGGTGTGCTCTGTAAAGCGGTCTTTATTCCTCAAAACATCGATATGGGATCTGGAAACATTCAAGGGGGGGCCCACTCATAAGGGCGCGTGTCTTTTGAATTTTAGGCAAAGTTCATGTTTTTTAGTCGAAATTTGGCAGATGAACACTGGTCGACCTGTAGTCGACTATCTCATCATTAAACTGTCGAGTCGCGTGTTCACCTTGACGTGGAGCACATGGCACAAGAAATGCTTGACTTTCAGAGTTCGAATATGTACAGCAAAATCCGAGTCGCGCCCAACTTTCGTAGGTACCCGGTCTATACGATAAAATCGTCATCAGATCAAATTTGTGTAACCTGTACCGAGATGGTTCGTTAACGTGGCGAAGCTCGCAGTTTCTTCGTCCGTGGGCAGAAGAACACATTCTTTCCAGAAACGTGCTCGAGGTTTAGTGAATGTGAGGTCGACCCAAGTTCAGTGTCCTGCTGTTTACTTCAACTTTGGCTTGAACACACGATCGTCGTGAATAGCTCTGAACGAAATTGGCGAAGCTGGTTACCCGCAATCGTCCGACCGTATTTTTTAACCTCTACACCAAAAGACACGCGCCCTAACGGCAGATGATGATGGGTCCTGCTCACTCATCCTCCATTCCCTCCTTACTCTCCCATTTCCTTCCAGCCGCCTTTTTGCAGCCGTCACACGTCACGTCTATTTTTCAGCACTCCTCGAGGTCGCGGTCAAATCAAGGCAGTCGCCTCTAACTAGCCGTCCTACCCCTTTGAAACCTGTGGACCCTGAGCTGAACCAACCTTTCGAAACGGCGTTTTCCTGTCCAAATGTCAACGTCCTCGCTTACGACGTCAGTCGTACGACGTCAGTTTCGCGAATCGCGACGTCAATTTCCTGTCGCGTCAAGATGCACCCAGATCGTCACCCGCACATCCGGCATCATGGATCATCACGCGTCGCGCTGACGTGCCTCCTCCGCATTCCTCATCTGATCTTCATTTGTTCTCCAGCGGCGGATTCCGCAAGACAAAAGATATATAACATGCGCGAATTGCCGTACAACGCTCGTCACTCATTAACTCGATTCTTCGAAGACTTGCTGCTATCTTGCTGTCCTCTCTTACCTTCTTGTTACGAATCGTTTTCAAACGCATTTCAATGGCTTCCCGCGCGCTCGCGAGCAACGAGGAGCTGTGGCAGCGGGCGAGCAAGACGGGCACGGGACTGAGTGTTACCACGTTGCGCTTTTCGCGAACCATTTCGCTGGACCAGGTGTGCTGGATACGATCGCCTTCTTCGCCACAATTCGCACGTCAGATATACCCCCTCACCAACTTGTTTCGTTTCGCAAGGAATGGTTTCACAATGCGCCGCGAAAGTGTTGCAAAATAGGTTTGCGTTGCGAATCAGACCCTGAAGCGCCTTACGTCCACCCGAACGCCAGGTGAAAACGGCAGCAGCCCTGGCGGCGTCTCAGCACCCCATCCTGGCCGCCAGGATCATCAGGGAGCAAAAGCCCAAGCCGCACTGGGAGCTTAACGTGCCGGATGTCAGTATCTTACTTTTCTCACATTTCCTTCGTCCCCTCCCCAACCAGGTTGTGGCGGCAGCAGCACTGGCGGTGTCTCAGCACCCCATCCTGGCCGCTAGGCTCGTCAAGGTGCAGAAGCCCAAACCGCACTGGGAGCTCAGCGTGTCTGCTGATGCTCCCCCTGCTGTCACCGTTGCTGCGCGCTCGTGGCACGATGTGCTGGGCGTTGATGGGGCGAGCACGCTGGGCGTCTCGGCAACGCCACCCCCCCTTGTCCCTCACCTGCCCTACGTCCCCTCCATTCTCCCTCCCCCCCATTAGGTCAAATCGGCAGCAGCACTGGCGGCGTCTCAGCACCCCATCCTGGCAGCCAGGCTCGTCAAGGTTCAAAAGCCCAAGCCGCACTGGGAGCTCAGCGTGCGTGCTGACGCTCCCCCTACTGTCACGGTGGCGGCGCGCGCTTGGCACGACGTGCTGGGCGTTGATGGGGCGAGCACGCTGGGCGCTAGTGAGTCAGACGAGGCGCTGAGGCTGCTGACACAGGCGGAGATGAACACTCCCATGGTGGCAATGGGGGAGAAGGATGAGGAAGCGACTGATGTGTTCCAGGTGAGACGGCGTCAAGGTGGGAGATGAGCGCGCCCGTGGTGGTGATGCGAGCACTCTGGGCGCTAGTGAGTCGGACGAGGCGCTGAGGCTGCTGACTCAGGCGGAGATGGGGGTGGTGGGGGCGGAAAAGGATGAGGAGCCGACTGACGTGTTCCAGGTGACCACTGTTGAGGCGCCTCAAAAGGTGTTCCAGGTGACCACTGGGACGGGAATGACTGATCAGTTCTACCCTGATCTTGTCCTTTGTGTTCAGTCGTCCCTTCCCATCCCATCCCCTGCGTTCATGTCCATCCTTCCGAGCTCAAAATCCACTCATATGCATATGCCACGTGAGGATGCCTCGCTTCTTACTCATTAGCACCATCCATCCCTTCCCCTCTTCTTCCCTCCCCTCTCCTTCCCTCCTCTCCCCTCCCCTACCCTCCTCTCCTCCTCTCGCCTGCCACAGGTCCACGTGTACCCCTCAGAGCTCGCCACGTGTATCGTTCTGAGAGGCCACTGTGCTGCCTTTGATCGCTCCTCTGCTCTCTCTGTCGCCCGTGCCTTCCTCTCCGCCCTCGCGGCTGTGCTCGCTGGCTCTGCCCCTTCGTCACCAGCCTGGTACGCTGCTTCTCCTTCACATGCTCTCTGGCCCCTCTGCTCTTTGACTCTCTCTGTCGCCCGTGCCTTTCTCTCCGCCCTCGAGGCTGTGCTCGCTGGCAATGCTCCTTCTTCCCCAACCTGGTACGCCTCTTCTATTCCCCTTCCACCTCGTAGTACGCACCTTACACGCCACCCCTGTAAGCCTCATCTCCTCCCCTTCTCTCTCTGCTCACCCTCCTTTCTCCGTCGCCCGTGCCTTCCTTTCCGCCCTCGCTTCTGTGCTTGCTGGCTTGCCCCTTCATCCCATCTCCTTCCACATTCTCAAATCACCCCCTCCTCCCCTTGCCCCTTTGCTTCCCCCGCTTCCTACGCTTTGTTTCCTCTGTGTTTCCTTTGCTTCCTCTTCCTCCTGCAGGCCCAGCACAGGCGTCTCTCTCCCGCCCTCCCTCGCCTCCCTCATGCCCAAGGGCGCGCAGGCGAAGGGCTTTTTCACCAAGGTGGTGGACGCCGTGGGGTATGCCGCGTGCTTCCTCACTCCCACATGCTCTCCTGCTCCCGTGCTCCCGCCTATCCGTCTCTTGCCCACTCCCCCCTTAGGCCTAGCACGGGAGTGTCTCTTCCTCCCTCCCTCGCCTCCCTCATGCCCAAGGGTGCGCAGGCGAAGGGATTCTTCACCAAGGTGGTGGATGCCGTGGGGTATGCTGCTTCATCCAAATCCGCCATGCTGTCCTTCCAGCCCGGCTGTGCTGACTCCCGCAAGAACCACTTCCGCTCCGAGGTCATCCCCATCCAGTTGTCCCAGCAAGGTGCGTGGGTGGTTGGGTTGGTGGGTGTGTGGGTGTGTGGGGTGGGTATGTGAGCTATCAGGCGGGGCTGTGCTGTTATCCGCAAGAATCACTTCCGCCCCGAGATCATCCCCATCCACCTGTCCCAGCAAGGTGCGTGGGTGGGTGGGTAGGTGGGTGTGTGGTTAGTTGGGTGGGTGGGTGGGTATTCTAGCTATCAGGTGGGTAATGCAGCCTCCTCCTATGCTGCCCTTCCAGCCGGGCTGTGCTGATTCCAGGAAGAACCACTTCCGCTCCGAGATCATCCCCATCCACCTCTCCCAGCAAGGTGTGTGGGTGGGTGGGTGGTTAGTTGGGTGGGTGTGTGGGTGGATGGGTAGGCTAGCTATCATGCGGGGTATGCCGCCTAGGGGTTATTGTGTGTGGTAACTCTCCGCCGTGCTGCCACTAGGTTGAAGGGAGGAGGTGCAGAGGTTCGAAGAGGCTGTGCTAGTAGTGATGGGGCAGATCTGGCCAAGGGAACCGAATCCGATCCTCGCTAAGAAGATCTGCCAAGGCCTTGTGGGGCTCTATGCACATGCAGATCTGCCGAGCTGTAAGGCTCATGCTTGAAGTGCATATAGCCCCTCCTGGCCTTACAGCCCACCTGCGGTAGGAACTGATTTTAACTAATTCTAGGAACCGGTTTTATGGAATAATTCTCACTATCCCGCGTGTTCGTACCCCCTATTCCCAAACCCCCCCTGTGTCCATTCAGAGACTGATGCGCTCAAGGCGGCGTGTGAGGCGAGGGGCAGTTCTCTGTACGGCGTGCAGTGTGCTGCTGCGCTCAAGGCGGCAGCAGAGGAGCTGAAGCTCAAGAAGGACGAGTCATTCGGCGTCACCAGGTGGGTACCTCACACCACATGACAGCAACTCACAGTACCGCTCAGCACATTACAGCACCAGCAATTGTAAAGCAGCTCGCTTTACGGCGTGCAGTGTGCGGCTACGCTCAAGGCAGCAGCAGAGGAGCTGAAGCTCAAGAAGGACGAGTCGTTCGGCGTCACCAGGTGGGTACCTCACAGCACATGACAGCACCTCACAGTACCGCTCAGCACATGACAGCATCAACAGTTGTCAGACCTTGCTGTACGGAGTGCAGTGTGCGGCTGCGCTCAAGGCAGCAGCAGAGGAGCTGAAGCTCAAGAAGGACGAGTCGTTCGGCGTCACCAGGTGGGTGGGTGGCTTGGGCCCACGCAGTACCAACTCACAGCACATGACAGCACCTTCAGTACCGCACAGCACCCCACAGCACCAGCTACAGTCCAATCCTCGCTGTACGGCGTGCAGTGTGCGGCTGCGCTCAAGGCGGCAGCAGAGAGGAGCTGAAGCTGAAGAAAGGACGAGTCTTTTGGCGTCACCAGGTGGGTGGGTGACAGCACCACCTCACAGCACTTCACAGCACCTCGCAGTACTGCACTGCACAGCACAGCATCATCTGTGTGGCGTGCAGTGTGCAGCTGCGCTCAAGGCGTCATCTTGACTCGGGTTTTCCTCTTAACCACTCCTTTCCTTTCTTCTCTACCTCCTTCCCTGCGCTCTCTGCCTCCTCTACCATCCCTCCAGTCTCATTGTGTTGTCAGCACTGCGACCCCCCTCTTGCCCCATCGGCCATCGGGGTGTTTGACTCGGGTCTGCTCTTGAAGCACTCCTTCCCGTTTCCCTCCCCTCACTCCCTTCTCCCCCTCCAGCCTCATTGACTGTCGCCAGTACTGCGACCCGCCTCTTCCCCCCTCGGCCATCGGGGTGTTTGACTCGGGTCTGCCCTTAAAGCACTCCTGCACCTCCCTCTCGCCCTCACTCCCACCAGTCCAGTGGCTCTCTCTCTGCTTTCCCCTCCCTCTCCCCCTCACACACACAGCCTCATTGACTGTCGTCAGTACTGTGACCCGCCCCTCTCCCCCTCGGCCATCGGGGTGTTTGACTCGGGTCTGCCCCTCAAGCACTCCTGCTCGCACGCCTCCTCGCTGTGGGGCATTGCGGGGCAGCTCACGCAGCAGGTGGCAACTGCGGTCAGCAAGGGAAAACATTTCTCAGAGCTGCCCGTGCTGGAGATGCTGTTTGGCACGGTGAGTGACTATTTGGTGGAGCAACAGCAACAAAAACATCCAATGTAGTAGTTGTTTTATTATTTGTTGTTTGTCTATTCTTTTCACAGGTGCAGAATCCAATGGTTTCACTGAATCTGCTGTTTCTGTTTCCGTCCTCTTCCTCACAACCATACTTGCCCCAACATTCCCCCCCCCTTCACAGGTGCTCAACACGCCTTCCCTGAGCCCAGAGCACTCCCTGCGCACATCCTTCCTCACCTCCTTCACCGACGGTCCTCTCCCCCTCGACCTCACCACTGCGCCACACGACATTACTAATGGCGCTACCAACGGCGCCACCAATGGTGCCGGTGACCTGGCTCTGCTGCAGCTGGACGGGGTGATGGGTCCTCTGGTGGCGAGTCATGGCATCGGCCCCTGTATTGGCATGCCCGATTTCATCAAGGTAAGAATCACTACAGGCGGCTGTTTTTGGCTCATACCCATCACAGTGCCAGTGCCGCTGCTGGTGGGGTGACCTGGCTCTGCTGCAGTTGGATGGGGTGATGGGTCCTCTGGTCTCCAGTCACGGCATCGGGCCCTGCATTGGCATGCCTGACTTCGTCAAGGTATGAATCGCTACAGGGCAGCTGTTTTTGTCCGTACCCATCTCAGTACCAGTGCCGCTGCTGCTGCTGGGGGGTAATGGGCCCTCTGGTGGCCAGTCATGGCATCGACCCCTGCATTGGCATGCTTGACTTCCTTACGCTGCGTAATGGGCATGTGTGCTTCAGGCAAGACGGCTTTGATATGCTAAGTCGCAAGCATCTGACACGGAACACAGCTGCCACACCCCGGAAATTCTATCCTGTTTGTGTGATCTCCGCTTTCTCCCTGCATGTCATTGTCACCCCTCACCCGTCTCGGCCCTCGCCCCCCTCTCTCTGTGTGTGACAGGATGGGGCGCTGCAGGTGCTGCTGGTGTACCCCACCCCACTCTACTCTCCCACTCAGATGGCCCAGTTTGCTGTCCTCGTTAAGAACAACCTCCTTGCAGCTGCAGCTAACCAGGACGTGTAGAGCATATGCTTCTATGGTGGTGTACTGATCAATTGTTTTGATGCATTCTACCTAGTGGCACCTTCTCTGGTAGTGCACAGTTGATTGCACTTAGGAAATTTGAAATCTAACAAATTATTGACAGTACTGACCAAACAAGATGTGCTCTATGGGCAGTGAGACAGTGCACACCCAGTCATTATAAACTAGCAAGTTAGCATTAGCGACGTACATGGAGGAGCACTATAAAGAGTACAAGAGATTCTTCTATAGCGTCTCTGACTCTAGATTCATGGCAAAGTACAATCAGTCAATAGCCTAAAGCTCAGTTCTTGTGTATGTGCGGTTGTGAGCAGATGTGGTGGGTGGAACCTGCTTACGGTAAACAGAGGCGAGGGACAAGGAGAGCACAGGAGAAAGGAGCGGGGAGAGCAGTGAGGTAATGAAGCAGAGGAAGGAGAGCACGGAGGCAAAAAGAGCAATGTAGCAAGACGAAGCCTAGGACGGTGTCCAACGAAGCAAAATGAGGGAGAATATACTTTCTCCCAGCAGGAAAGGAGGAACGAGCGGCATACTCATGCACACATGCACTGGCGCACTAGCGCACATGCACATGCACATGCACATGCCCATGCACATGCCCATGCACATGCCCATGCACATGCCCATGCACATGCACATGCACATGCACATGCACATGCATGCTTACCCGGCAGCTGGCGTGTATGCTGCTCATCTGGTCCCCCCCAGTATCAACCATGTCTCGCGTGCCCTGCATGCCCTGCCTGCTGCTGCCTGTTACTGCTGTGGACTCCCAACCACTCATCAGTACCACCAGCAGCAGCAGCACCGTTGCTAGCAGCAGCATCCTTGTCACCAGCACGGGTCCCATCCGCTCCCTGCCACGACATCCGCGCCTCTATGCGCCTCTGCATGGCAATCAACGCCGACACCGGTGTCCACCCCTGCTCCTGTGTCCACCCCTCCTCCTTAACCCCTGCACCTCCTCTCGCTGCTGCTGCTGTATGGCTCCCTCCCCCACCCACTCCCTTCCCGCCCTCCTTGGCACCACGAGTATCAGAGCTCTGACTCGTGCTGCTGCCGCTACTGCTGCCACCTCTGCTGCCACCACTCCTGCTCCTGCCAACATGGCCACCAGTGTGGATTCCGCCAGTGCTGCCACCACCGTTGCTGTCGCCACTGTTCCTGCCCGTGCCAGAATGGGAAGCCGCAGCAGTGTGTGTGGCGAGCCTGCTGCTGTCCGCTACGGCCAGCAGCTGCTGCCACTCGTCCTCAAACCTCACGCCCTCTCCCTGCTGCTGTTGCTGTTGCTTCTTTTGCTGCTGCTCCTGCTTTCCCCCTTCCTCTTCCTGTCCTTGCTGCTGCTGTGCCTGCTGCTGCTGCTGCTGCTGCTGCTGCAGTCCCTCCTGCTCCTTCTCTCTCGCTTGCAGCTGCTGCTGCTGCTCGTTTTTCTCTCCCTCCTTTCCCTTCTCTACCTGGTGCGCCACTTCTTCCACCTTCTGCTGAGGCTCTTGCTCTTGGTTCATCTCAAGATCTTGTTTCGTCTCATGCAGCTTCTTACTCGGCTGTTTCTCTGGCTTCCCACCTGCCTCAGCAGCACTGCTCTTCTCCTTGTGTTCTTTGTTCACCTTGAATTCGTTTCTTGCACCTTTGCTGCTGCCGCTTCTACTGCCGCCTCTGCCACCGCCACCGCCACTGCCAGTGCCGCTGCCGCCTTTGCTGCCCTTGCTGCTTGCGTGTGACTGCCCTTGCCCTTCATTCGCCTTCCCCTTCCCTTCCTGCGTCACCTCCTCATGATAGCTGCTCTCCTGCACCCCTCCTCCCTTGCTGCTGCTGCTGCTGCTGCCGCTGCCCTTGCCCTTGACACTCTTGCCGCCCTTGCTGCCCTCACTGCTAGCATGTGAGTGCTCTTTCTCTTCAATCGCCTTCCCCTTGCCCTCCTGTCCCTCTTTAGTCATCTTCAAATGATAGCTGCTCTCCTGCACCCCTTTCTGCCACTCATCTAGATCAATCACCTTCCCTCCAACATGCTCCTTCCACTCCTCCTTCCTCCTCTCTTCCTCACTCTCCCTCCCATTCTCATTCCCGTCCCCAGCTCGTGCTTTCTCCTCCGCACCATCACCCTCTGAGCTTTCCCCTGAGCCATCCGCTCCACCCGATCCGTCACCTGAGTTTTCACCTGATGCCGCAGAATCTCCTGACGCTGCGGATTCTCCTGTCGCCACACCTGAAGCCTCATCCAATTCGGGCCAAAGAACGCTAGTGTGCTTACTAGAGTCTTCACTCTCGCTGAAATTTTCGCCTGTCTCCTCTCCTGACGTTTCTCCTGAACTTTCCCCTGAACTCTTTTTTGATTTATCACTAGTAGAATCCTCCTCTGAACCCTCTGTTCTTGTTGCTTCTGCTGATGCTCCTCCCGTTTTCTCCTCGCCACCCTCTTCCCCCTCTCCGGTCCCCTCTCCTCCTTCTCCTGCCTTGCCACTGCCGGTATCACTATTACTCTTACTGTTACTACTACTACTGCTGCTGCTGCTGCTGCTGCTAGTACTACCGCTGCTGTTACTGCTGCCGGTGGTGTTGAATTTGGTGGTGCCGGTGCTGCTCTGCGCGTCAACAGTGCTCAGGTTGTCGTCACTGTCGTAACCACTCTTGAAACTGGCTCCTTTGGAATCATCAGCATCAGCGCTGCTCCGCTTGCTGTCACCACCGGTAGCACCATCAGCAGCACCACCATTAGCACCATCAGTGGCACCACCACTAGCAACATCCGCAGCACCACCACTAGCACCATCAGCACCACCACCACTAGCACCACCACTAGCACCATCAGCAGCACCACCACTAGCACCACCACCATCACCACCACCATAACCACCACCACTGTCGCCGCTGCTGCCCCGGGCAGAACCACCAGGCTTGTCAGCAACCTTGAAGTCACCATAATTACTGCTGCTGCCGCTGCCACTGCTGCTGCCGCTGCCACTGCTGCTGCCGCTGCCACTGCTGCTGCCGCTGCCACTGCCACTGCCACTGCCACTGCCGCTGCCGCCACTGCTGCTCCAGCCGCCACTGGTGGCACTGCTGAATCCGCCATCACTGTCATAACGGCCTCTTGCCTCCCCACTAGCAGTCGCACTTCCCTTACCAACCCCACTAGCACTACCAGTGCCACCAGTTTTGCTGCCAGCACTGCCGCTGCTGCCGCTGCTGCCGCTGCTGCTGCCGCCGCTGCTGCTGCCGTATCCGCACATGCCTAGCTGGCATGCCGTGTCAGCAGGACACGTGTTGTAGCAGCCGCCGCAGTGACGTGGATCGTCCATGGTGCTGACGCACGCGCCGTCGCAGCACTGGTGGCCCGTCGGACACGCCGTGAGGCAATTTCCGCAATGGAACACGTCGCTGCGTAGGTTGCGGCAAGCACGCCTGAAGCAGCGGGAGAGCAGGAACGGGGGAGAATGGGGGAGGGGGTGTAAGGCAGAAAGGGGAAAGAAGGACACGCCGTGAGGCAGTTGCCGCAGTGAAACACGTCGCTGCGCAGATTGCGGCACGCCGTGGAGCAGTTGCGGAAAGGCGCGACTGAAGCAACGGGAGGGGGGGAGCGAGAGGGGGGGGAAGTTCTCACCCGCAGCAGACGTCGAAACCGGGGTTATCCTTAGCGAAGATGAGGCAAACGGTTTGGTTCCCCAAGCACTTCTGCCCGCGCTTCAAATGATGCCCCACGCCGGACGGATGGTGCCCGAACAGAAACGTCCCATCCGCCTTCCGCGGGTGGTGCCCTCCGCCGAACGGCGCGCGCCCGCCCGCGCTGGCGGCGCCCGCCCCCGCGTCGCGGCCGCCGTCGAACCAGTGGTGGCCCACAGAGGCGATGTGGTGGCCGAGGCGAGGGTGGTGCCCCGTGAATGGCCCGTGCATCCCCTTGGGAATGTCGAAAACCTTGGGAATTCCGAAGCCCTGCGGCTCGCTGTTGGTGGTGTCGGCTTCTGGGTCGATCTCCGCCGTTGATCTGATGGTTGTGGTGATCCGACGGTGGTGGCCTAGGTTCGGATCGCCCGATTTCTTGGAAGGTTCGGCGTCGTCTGCTTTGGGGGGGCTGAATAAGGCGCGGCGGAGGGACGAGACGGCGGAGGATACGGCGGAGCTTGCGGCGGAAGATGCGGCGAGAAAGGAAGGCAGCGGGAAGCGGCCTATCCCCCTGTTGCCGCCACCGGGATTAGCGAAGCGCGAAACTTTCGAGGAGTAAAAGGAGGAGGACGAGGAGGTAGAAGCGAAGGGCAGTTTGTTGGTCGATCGTATTCGGATCTTAAACAGCTTCGGCCTCCCTTTGCTGCCACGTGGACGCGGAATATCCGGGAGAAGATCATCTGACGTGGCTAAGGAGTAGGAGGGTAGGAGAAATAGGATGCATATACACGATAGTACTAGCGCCGCGACCAAGCTTCGAAGCGTCTTCATGTCTGCTCGATTTAATTGAATTCACGGTATCCAGTCTGAGCACCGTCTATTAGGAAGTCGAGCCGGATCGGCTTTCTCTGCGGTCGCGTCGCGAAGGCATACCGGCTAAATCCTAGGTGCGGTCGCTAATAATCATATGACGAAGCAAGACACTCCCAGTGAAGACACTCCCAGGCGAAGCAAGTTTTAGGGTGATAGCCACTCTGGGTAGTGAAGACTCCCAGTCAGCCCGTTCGCGCGGTATTCGCTCTGGCTCGAGTTAAGAGAGAGCACGCCGGAGAGTAGGTGAATCTTCTTGCTCGCTATCTGACCTGCACCAGGATGTGGAGTCCTACACTCCTGGTGGCTATAGGCAGTCTTAGAAGGTTCTGTTATGCCGACTGCTCTCCCTCTCAACGGTGTGGCGTCGCCGCGAAGAGAATAACTACTACAAGGCGATTATCTTTCCCAAGGCGTCACTGTACAAGCGGCGAGTGATAACCTATGGTGACAGCTAGAACATTCTAAAGCGCTAAGGCATCTGGTGTCACTACGGCAAGTATTGCGCTGTGTTGACCATTAGAGGAGTGCAGTGCAGTGGGTGTGGGCAGTGGTGCTGGTTGCCCCGATGGGATATGGGGGGCGTGGTGTGGTGTGCTGCGCCTGCGCTGCGATGCAACGACTCGACAGAGCGCGCTGCGAGCAGTGCGCTGTCGTTTACTAGGCAGTAAACAACTGTCTGACTGGGTGGGACTCGCTCGATCTGCGCAAATCGTGGAAGCAGTGAGGCAAACCTTGGGCGCGAATGAAGAATAAACGGTGATGACAAAGAAGCGTGGGAGCAGAGCAGGTGAAACACATGGAGTGGGCGTTTTAGGGTGGTAAAGTACGGTAAGAGGCTAAACTGTAGTGGTCGATCGGAGGTGGAGGGAAGGAGACGAACGTTCGAGATGATTCGGGCGACTTTTCAAACTCGTCGTTTGTTCGGTGAAGCGAATCCCACTCCCAACGTCCGTTGACAAATGTGGAATCTGAGACATTTTGCGCGAAATGCGACTCGACATTTTGAATGAACACGACGCGATTCAGCCGCGGCTTGAGAGAGCTGGTGCTGAGGTGGCTCTACATTTTGACCGTCGATGCTCTGGACCCGTTGGGTTTGTGAAGGACACGTGGCAAGACTGCTGAAGGGTTGATGCCCACGAACAACGACGGCTGAGCGGCAAGGAGACGGTTGCCGACAACAATTGAAATAGTTGTTTCGTCGCTCGAAACCCTGGAACTTCGTGATTCTATTGCTGACGGGCCATTTTCAGGTGCGATCCACACTTGCCAGGAAATCTACTCATGTGCGATCCATGTTATTTTGCAGGTACAAACATCCGATTCAGTTTTAAATCTTGCTGTTTCAAATCACGATTTATCCGAGATCCGATTCAAAATTACACAAACAGTCGGAACTAGAAGCGATTTCGAATCACGCCAAGAAAAATTCGAATGGTCACATAATTTCGGCACAATTTCGACGACTGATTCCGCTTCGCACTAAGAAATTTTGTAACAGATTTCTTATGCCGGATCAACTGTACTGTTGACACAGGTGACGGATACTGCGCAGGCCATTTCAGCATTCCCTTCTTGGGCGTGCACCCCAAAATTCGAGAAATCGTCTGGGTGATAATGAAGATTACCCTCAATTTAAAAATAGCCAGCTGGATTTTTTTTCGCAGTAGACGACGCTGTCATAAATTATATTATATTTATATATATTTAACCCCTAAAGAACCTGAAAATGTTTTCGGGAGCGATCAGCCCTAAACAATTTATTGCCTGGGTAATAATACAGCGTCGTCTATTGCGAAAAATATCCAGCTGGTTATTTAAAATGAGGGTAAACTTCATTATCACCCAGACAGTATCTCGAATTTTGGGGTGCACGCCCAAGAAGGAAATGCTGAAATGGCCTGCGCAGTATCCGTCACCTGTGTCAACAGTACAGTTGATCCGGCATAAGAAATCTGTTACAAAATTTCTTAGTGCGAAGCGGAATCAGTCGTCGAAATTGTGCCAAAATGATGTGACCATTCGAATTTTTCTTGGCGTGATTCGAAATACCTTCTGATTCCGACTGTTTGTGTAATTTTGAATCGGATCTCGGATAAATCATAATTGTAAACAGTAAGATTTAAAACTGAATCAGATGTTCATACCTGCAAAATAACATGGATCGCACATGAGTAGATTTCCTGGCAAGTGTGGATCGCACCTGAAAATGGCCCATTGCTGACCGGACAAGGTGCGAAAATTCTCGAAAGTTTGGTGACCGGCAGTCACATTCTCGCAGCCAAACCATCTAGGGCGCTAGCAAGCGATCAGCATCCACACGGCACCAGCAGCTGTAACGAGTATGCTGCTGACATCACAACGGTGTGACACCCTGGGTTGATTGGGAAGTTTTTTGGGTTGCGTAGCAACCTTATACATTCGTTTTCACTTTTCGGTTGGCTGATGTGAACAGTGAATTTCTCTTATAATTTTGAAAGAAATCACTGTTCACATAGCTTCCCCAAAAAAATGAAAACAGATGTTTCCAATCATTCCATAATCGTCGATAAGTACGGCGAATGGAACAATTGGAGATTCGTTCTAGCCCTAAAGATGATGCCCAATGACACAAGAACACGAAGGACAACACAAAAATAAAACCGTCGTGCATGTTCTGAAGGGAACACTAAATGCATCAATGCAACAACTGAGACTGATATGGTACGGAAGAGGCGAGCAAAGCTGCCCCACCGACGATCACAATCCCAGTTGCATACACGAGACACTTAGCACCACACCCCCGAAACAAGCACAGACAATAACACATAAATGATTACAAAAACAGAAGACAACGATAAAGAATGTTTCAAAGCGAATGCTAAATGCATCAGTGCTGCAACTAAGATTGATATGGTACGGAAGAGGCGAGCAAAGCTGCCCCACCGACGATCACAATCCCAGTTGCATACACGAGACACTTAGCACCACACCCCCGAAACAAGCATAGACGATAACACATAAATGATTACAAAAACAGAAGACAACGATAAAGAATGTTTCAAAGCGAATGCTAAATGCATCAGTGCTGCAACTAAGATTGATATGGTACGGAAGAGGCTAGCAAAGCTGCCCCACCGACGATCACAATCCGAGTTGCATTCACGAGGCACTTAGCACAACACCCGAAGCATACACAATACACGTATGCACATGTACGCACTCACACATATATAGGCTCACACATATACAGACACACACAACACAAAAACATACAGCTACTGTAATAAGCATGCAAGCATAATGAATGAATTTCAGCATTGTATAAATTATCACTATCCTGTCCCCCATTCCCCTCCCTCCCTCCCTCCCTCCCTCCCTCCCTCATTTGCCTCATCTCCCTTCTTCCCATCCGTTTTCTCCGCAAGAAACAAAGGCTGCAGCTTGAACTCCCTGCACAGGAAAGAAAAATCAGCGAATGCAACTCACTCCCTGCACAAACACGAACAAAATCAGAGAATACAACTTGCATTAGTTGCACAAGAAAACAAATTCAGAGAATGCAGCTTCCTTGATGCACTAAAAAACAAAGTAAGCGCAACAGAAATTCACGCTCTCTCGCGCACTCTCTCGCGCACTCTCTCACACACTCTCCACGCGCTCCCTCACGCGCTCTCTCACGTGCTCCCTCACGCGCTCCCTCACGTGCTCCCTCACGCAATCTCTCATTCGCACTCTCACTCACGCGCTCCCTTGTACGCTCTCTCAGGCGCGATCGCTCTCACGGGCTCTAACACGCACTGTCACTCGCTCCCTCACGCGCTCTCTCACGCGCTCTCTCACGCGCTCTCTCACGCGCTCTCTCACGCGCTCTATCACGCTCACTCCTACACATACTTTCCTATGCGTGCGCTCCAGTGCACACGCTCTCCCTCGCGCTCCGCATCTCTCCCTTTCTTCACGAAGAGAGCTACGCAAGAGAAGACCAATCGACACACAATAATTACGAGGAGAGAAAAAACAAACAAAAAAAATTGAAGAAGAATAAACAAAGAATTTTCAGAGGGAGGAGGGAGGATGAAAGGACCCGGAACGCACCGGATTTACCACGGTAACTCGGAAAACAACCCGCTCTCGCGCACCAAAAAGCGCTCGCGCACCAACTCGCGGTTGCGCCCGTGCACTGGTCGCCGGAGGCGACTACGGGGTAGGAGGGAGAGGCGACGGCGGGGAGGAGGGAGAGGCGACGGCGGGGAGGAACGGAGAGGCGACGGCGGGAGGGAGGGAGCGGCGATGGCGGGGAGGAGGGAGAGGCGAAGGCGGGAGGGAGGGAGAGGCGACGTCGGGGAGGAACGGAGAGGCGACGGCGGGAGGGAGGGAGCGGCGATGGCGAGGAGGAGGGAGAGGCGAAGGCGGGAGGGAGGGAGAGGCGACGGCGG